TAAAGTGGTCATTACTTTGTTGACCAGACCACACACTAGAAGTTGAAGGGACGACGACGTTTCGGTCCGTCCTGGACCATTCTCAAGTCGATTGACGTCATTCACAATCGACTTGAGAATGGTCCAGGACGGACCGAAACGTCGTCGTCCCTTCAACTTCTAGTGTGTGGTCTGGTCAACATACTTCAGCCACGTTATTGTGACTCATCGCCTGCATATGGTCATTACTTTCTTTCAATTTGCTGATTAGTTCTACATGATAGTTTACTATCATATCTATTTTTGCCAACTTGATGTGTAGACGGCTTATATCGATACCTTCTTAATTTAAACCCCCCAAAAATCTAGCTCTGATTTGCTTTCCTTCTTGTCGGCGGCCATCTTGAATGACGTCGTTTGCCCTTAATACTTGGGCAACTTTTTCTCATCCAATTTTTTTCACTTCCCTTTCAGCCCACACCACATACGTGAGACCAGTACTAGAGTATGCAGCATACCCTTGTTATCTCACCTATTTTTCCAAAGCACTACACCTTTATGTTCCTTGGGAGACCACTTATGTGTGTGTGTGTGTGTGTGTGTGTGTGTGTGTGTGTGTGTGTGTGTGTGTGTGTGTGTGTGTGTGTGTGTGCTTGGGCTAAACCCATACATTTTCATCACTTTAAAAAAAAATTATACATTTGGCTCTGTTGAGAACCGTTTTCAACTGGGAATATTTGCAATGGTTTTATTGACACCATTTATTGTTTTATTGTGTGTATCTGATTGTTTGATTGTCTGCATTTATTGTGTTAATTGTGACGGTGTTGGTGCCGTCACTTTCACTCACCATCGTTAAGAATTAACACGTTAATTGGCAGTTACATTAGAGTGCATTTGGGAGCAGGAGTACAATCTTGTGTATTGTGTACAATACTCATATTGTACGCGATCAAGTACGTGAGTTAGGAAGTACGTGAGTTACCAAATACGTGAGTACGTGAGTTACCAAATACGTGAGTACGTGAGTTAGCAAATACGTGAATACGTGAGTTAGCAAATACGTGAGTATGTGAGTTAGCAAATACGTGAGTACGTGAGTTACCAAATACGTGAGTACGTGAGTTAGCAAATACGTGAGTACGTGAGTTAGCAAATACGTGAGTACGTGAGTAACAACACAAGCAGCTTGAAACATAATATTTAGTAATAATTATTTTCATACACAGTGAATGAATCACAGTTTACTCATGATTGTACTCATGCCCAATGTCTTCTCTGACGGCCCCTACAACTGCTACACCCTGGGGGCCCAGAACATGGGCCACACCGTCACAGGGGGCCCAGAACATGGGCCACACCGTCACAGGGGGCCCAGAACATGGGCCACACCGTCACAGGGGCCCAGAACGCGGGCCACACCGTCACAGGGGGCCCAGAACGCGGGCCACACCGTCACAGGGGGCCCAGAACGCGGGCCACACCGTCACAGGGGGCCAGAACGCGGGCCACACCGTCACAGGGGGCCACACCCGGGCCACACCGTCACAGCGGGCCACAACCCGGGCCACACCGTCACAGGGGGCCACAACCCGGGCCACACCGTCACAGGGGGCCCAGAACACGGGCCACACCGTCACAGGGGGCCCAGAACACGGGCCACACCGTCACAGGGGGCCCAGAACGCGGGCCACACCGTCACAGGGGGCCAGAACGCGGGCCACACCGTCACAGGGGGCCACAACCCGGGCCACACCGTCACAGGGGGCCACAACCCGGGCCACACCGTCACAGGGGGCCACAACCCGGGCCACACCGTCACAGGGGGCCCAGAACACGGGCCACACCGTCACAGGGGGCCCAGAACACGGGCCACACCGTCACAGGGGGCCCAGAACACGGGCCACACCGTCACAGGGGGCCAGAACGCGGGCCACGCCGTCACAGGGGGCCCAGAACACGGGCCACACCGTCACAGGGGGCCAGAACGCGGGCCACACCGTCACAGGGGGCCCAGAACACGGGCCACACCGTCACAGGGGGCCAGAACGCGGGCCACACCGTCACAGGGGGCCACAACCCGGGCCACACCGTCGCCAGCAGCGGTACCTCCTCTTTAAGCAAGCGGCCCACCGCAGTACCTCGCCGCCTTAAGCCGCCGTCCACTTACGGGAACGTTACTAAACTGTACCGTGCCTGTGTGGTGGTGCAGGGTACACAGGTGTATGGGGGGACACAGGTGTGTAGTGGTGCAGGGTACACAGGTGTATGGGGGGACACAGGTGTGTAGTGGTGCAGGGTACACAGGTGTATGGGGGGCACACATGTGTGTAGTGGTGCAGGGTACACAGGTGTATGGGGGGTACACAGGTGTATAGTGGTGCAGGGTACACAGGTGTATGGGGGGACACAAGTGTGTGTGGGGGGGGTTACACAGGTGTGTGTGTAGGGTACACAGGTGTGTGTGTGGGGGACACAGGTGTGTGTGTGTGGGGTACACAGGTGCCAATACGAGTGACGTGACTGAGAGGAGGAAGACATTTAGGAATACTGGTCATGAGACGGAGCCCAGGAGCTGCAGCTCGTGGTCACTGTAGAGGGCAGAGACTAGCCAGCCCTCAAGGGCGGGCTCACAATCAATACAACATAAGCAACATATGCAACCTTGCAAAGAGAGGGAATTATCAGGGGGAAAGCGCCAAGCCATTACGACTATATAGCACTGGGAAGGGGTTAGATTAAGGATTTGGGATGGGACGGAGTGAAAGGAATGGTGCCCAACCACTTGGACGGTCGGGGATTGAACGCCGACCTGCATGAAGCGAGACCGTCGCTCTACCGTCCACGTAGTAAAATGTAGAACACTTTTCAGGTCGCTAAGCCAGTCGTCTTTCGAAACACTACTTCACGTACGTGAGAACAATACTAAAGTATGCAGCGCCAGCATTATATCCGTAACACCACATACGTGGACCCAATACTGGAGTATGTGGGGCCAGAATAGCAGCCTGAACACCACATACGTGGACCCAATACTGGAGTATGTGGGGCCAGAATAGCAGCCTGAACACCACATACGTGAGACCAATACTGGAGTATGTGGGGCCAGAATAGCAGCCTGAACACCACATACGTGAGATCAATACTGGAGTATGTGGGGCCAGAATAGCAGCCTGAACACCACATACGTGGACCCAATACTGGAGTATGTGGGGCCAGAATAGCAGCCTGAACACCACATACGTGAGACCGATACTGGAGTATGTGGGGCCGGAATAGCAGCCTGAACACCACATACGTGAGACCAATACTAGAGTATGCAGCGTCAATATTAAACCCCTTACTTCGCTGAGCACATAAAGTCAATGTGTAGATTGTTTCAACATTGTTGATTCGAAAACTAAAAGAGCTTTAACACAATGATAAGACATACTGAACTAAATTTCCTCTCGCTGCAGCGATGAGCCGGAAGAGACATGGTCACGACGTACAAGATACAGCTAGACAAGAGCACAACTCTACAATGGAAGCCAAGTTCTGTGGTCTAAAGATTTATATCTAGCTTTGTTCCGGTGAAAGATACGAGGATTATCTTAGTATTGGACGTTGTTCAACTGTAGGTCTGACGGAGCCCAAGAGGCCAGAGCCGGGGCCCATGAGCTGGAACTCGACCCCGGCAACAAAGAGGTGTTTACACACAGATGAGGAAGTGGTGAAGGAACACCTCCGGCCACAACTTTAAGTGAGGGAAATAGTGTTTGCGAGGAGGCGGGGCCCAGCAGCTAACCATTTTCACCAAGAGCATGAATATATATATATAAGCACACACACACACACACACACACACACACACACACACACACACACACACACACACGAACAAGGGGACACAGGTGGAAGCTGAGTACCCAAATGAGCCACAGAAACATTAGAAGGAACATTTTCAGTGTCAGAGTAGTTAACAAATGGAATGCATTAGGCAGTGATGTGGTGGAGGCTGACTCCATACACAGTTTCAAATGTAGATATGATAGAACCCAGTAGGCTCAGGAACCTGTACACCAGTTGATTGACAGTTGAGAGGCGGGACCAAAGAGCCAGAGCTCAACCCCCGGCAAGTACTAGGCGAGTACATACACGCTAAAAATAGTATACCGATTCAATTTCTTACTAGAAACAGAATGACCCCAAATCACGGTTTTATATGTAGAGAAGAGTACAAGGAAGCTGTTTTAGTTACACTGATTTAAAGAGTGATTACGGTACAGGAAGTGAGCACAACGCGTTTCGAACAGGAGTTTCGAACAGGTCAACTGAGAAGTGTACGAAATAAGGACTATCTATTGCGCTTACATGTTCATTGTGGTCTCTTGTGTTGATCACTGTTCAGTCTATCACACTCGGGCCTTCCAGAAGCCGTGTTCAGACGCGATAAACAACACGCAATGGGTGATTAGACGTTAGGTTTGTGGGAGGTTACCATGCAAACTAGCGGTAGTTAATGCTCTACCCGAAAGACTGTAATTGAGTGAGTGGGTCAGTAGTTAAGAGTATACCAACATGTCGGTCACTGGGTTACACACACACACACACACACACACACACACACACACACACACACACACACACACACACACACACACACACACACACACACACACCATTCAACCACCCCTAACTAACTTAACAAGCGCCCTGTTAACAGGACAAGCTGTTCTGTACGAACCACCAGTACCTGTGAATCGCCAGGAGCAGTTCCCCTCACCGGACACAATGGCAACTCTCGCAGAAATGATTTTTTCCCCCTTGGAGTACACGCCCACCCCCGCACTCAGGCGCCGGGAACTCTCTCCCTCGCTCCAAGATAATCCCCCTTTCCCGGTCCCGGCACGCTATAGACGGGTTGATATCCCGTAGGAGGGAGCGATTGGGCGGTGTGTGGGGCGGCCTGGTGCTGGAGGAGGGCCCTGGGGCATGGGCGTGAGTGAGCGAGGGCGCCGCAGAGAGCCAGAGGTACTCACCGTTGCTGCTGGCTGGGGAGAAGGTCTCCGAGTGGCACCGCTGCTCCCACACAAGTCCACCTCGCGTCCCAATCCTTGCCAGAGTCACGACGTCGGCTCCGTCACGCGCCACATAACCCCTCGCCACATACTCCTGCGCCTCTACCCAACATGCTCGCCACATGACAAACACGCCATGTCACCCCTGCATGTCTCCTGCACGCCCTCAATGCCAATTGTTATGAATTTAAAATGGGGAAATAAATTTGCAGAGATTGGGATGGAGGAGTGAATCGATATGGGGCGCGCGCTCCCCTCTAGCGGCCGGGTCTGCAATCCTGGAAATCAATGGCAACAGTTGAGGGGTCGGCGGGCAAGTCAGCGCCTGGCATGTTGCATGGTGCTCACAGTCGCCGGCAACATTTGCAACATCCCCTCACCTCCCCATGTGTCATACAAGATGTGGCAGCGTCGGCTATAGTGCAGGAGGACGACCCGCGCGAAGTAGTCGAGTCCTTAGCATCCCATTATCGGCCATCCGCGCCCCCGCCTTCCCTTGTGTCGGCCTCGCGCTCAAGGGCAAGTGCCGCCCCTCGCGCTCAAGGGAGAGGAAGGACAATAAGGTGTTGGCGGGAGGTGGATAGGGACAGGTCACGGCTAGTGAGACCCGCGGGCGTGTGGGTCCTCGAGGGGTCCTCAACACCAGCCGGCCACTCCACCCTCCCCGGGTGTGGCCGCCTGAAAGGAATTACCAAATAATTATGGGTTAATTGGGGTTTAATTGACGGACAAGTGAGATGGGATGGGGAGAGGAGCCACGGTGGGGCGTGGGATGGGTCCACTATCCTGGGTAGTTATAGTCACCGCCGGGGTCGCTCCAAGATAAGGCTGACATAATGCCAAAACGGCTTCTGAATATAAAGAGTTTTCTGGACCAGAATCACGAGGACAGTTATTGACGAAGACGTTGGTTGACGTCAGAGTACCATCTTGACTGGTTGAGGAGGAGCCAGACCTCTGGGGTGAGCCACAGGGGTGTGAGGAGCCAGACCTCTGGGGTGAACCACAGGGGTGTGAGGAGCCAGAACTCTGAGGTGAGCCACAGGGGTGTGTGGAGCCACTTCTTCATTGTCAGGCCAGTATAAGCACGTGAATCCAGCTATATAACAAAATATGAAGAAGATACCTCCGTTTATTGTGTAAACATCAGACATGAGAGTAAACCAAGGTGTCGGAAGTCACAACATTAGATGACCTACAGTAGGAGAGGCAGGGCCCCTGGAACTCGAGCTCGGTCCTGCAAGCTATGTTAGGGAAGTTCTACACGGCTCACTCCGCCACACACCGCTGTCCTGTCGCTTGCCTCTTATCTCTGAAGGTATTAGCCTTAAATCACATTATATAAACTTAATACCCGAAAATCTCTCCCTCCCTCCCTCCCTCTCTCTCTCTCTCTCTCTCTCTCTCTCTCTCTCTCTCTCTCTCTCTCTCTCTCTCTCTCTCTCTCTCTCTCTCTCTCTCTCTCTCTCTCTCTCTCTCTCTCTCTCTCTCTCTCTCTCTCTCTCTCTCTCTCTCTCTCTCTCTCTCTCACACACAGACTACACCTCACTTCATTACTAACTGCCAAACAGCCTCTTTCCGTCCATTAACTGTTCAAAAGGCACTGCTAACAAGGCCTGTCTCTCATTCACCACTTTCCTCATTAATTCAGCTTTTATTAAACCCATATTTTGCTCCAAGCTCCGCTGACTGGAGTTATAACTCCACACTAAAGTCATTACTCCAGTCATATTTGAAGTCAAAACCCTACATATTAAAATTATTAAAACGAAAACCTCGCAATTTTTTCCCGGTTCTTAAGATAAATATATGCCATTAGGACGAAAATGAATGGTTTATTTTGCCAACAATTTATGTTGATATTTCCTAAAAGTGGTACCACCTTTGGTGCAAGTGTAGGGACCAGTACGGGAGCCGGTCGGCCGAGCGGACAGCACGCTGGACTTGTGGTCCTGTGGTCCTGGGTTCGATCCCAGGCGCCGGCGAGAAACAATGGGCAGAGTTTCTTTCACCCTATGCCCCTGTTACCTAGCAGTAAAATAGGCACCTGGGTGTTAGTCAGCTGTCACGGGCTGCTTCCTGGGGGTGGAGGCCTGGTCGAGGACCGGGACGCGAGGACACTAAAGCCCCGAAATCATCTCAAGATAACCTCAAGATACCGAATAGGAGATGAAGTCCTTCATGAAACGGACAGAGAGAAATATCTAGGGGTTGATATCACACCAAACCTGTCTCCTGAAGCCCACATAAAAAGAATAACATCTGCGGCGTATGCGAGGCTGGCTAACATCAGAACTGCCTTCAGAAGCCTGTGTAAGGAATCTTTCAGAACCTTGTATACCACATATGTAAGATCAATCCTGGAGTATGCGGCCCCAGCATGGAGCCCGTACCATGTCAAGCACAAGACGAAGCTGGAAGAAAAAGTTAAGAGGTATGTCACAATGCTAGTCCCAGAACTAAGAGGCATGAGTTATGAGGAAAGACTGCGTGAACTGCACCTCACGATACTGGAAGACAGGAGAGCTTGGGGAGGCATGATCACTACCTACAAAATTCTAAGAGGTAGAAATTCTAACATAGGGTAGATAAAGATAAACTGTTTAACACTGGTGGTACGCGAACAAGGGGACACAGGTGGAAACTGAGTATCCACATGAGCCACAGGGACGTTAGAAAAAACTTTTTTCAGTGCCAGAGTAGTTAACAGATGGAATGCATTAGGCAGTGATGTGGTGGAGGCTGACTCCATACACAGTTTCAAATGTAGATATGATAGAGCCCAGTAGGCTCAGGAATCTGTACACCAGTTGATTGACAGTTGAGAGGCGGGACCAAAGAGCCAGAGCTCAACCCCCGCAAGCACAACTAGGTGAGTACACACACACAGAGACACACACACACACACACAGACACACACACACACACACACACACACACACACACACACACACACACACACACACACACACACACACACACACACACACACACACACACACACACATCTTAGCAAGAACCCACATATGTAAAACTCATTTACTACCAGCGCCAGACAGGCTGGAAGCGCTCGCTTAAATCGGGTTAGCGAGTGAGAGCTTTTGTTAGCTACGGAGACGGTACTGTCTCACTCACCAGACAGAACACCCGTCACACTCACCAGACAGAACACCCGTCACACTCACCAGACAGAACACCCGTCACACTCACCAGACAGAACACCCGTCACACTCACCAGACAGAACACCCGTCACACTCACCAGACAAAAACACCCGTCACACTCACCAGACAGAACACCCGTCACACACTCACCAGACAGAACACCCGTCACACTCACCAGACAGAACACCCGTCACACTCACCAGACAAAACACCCGTCACACTCACCAGACAAAAACACCCGTCACACTCACCAGACAGAACACCCGTCACACACTCACCAGACAGAACACCCGTCACACTCACCAGACAGAACACCCGTCACACTCACCAGACAGAACACCCGTCACACTCACCAGACAAAAACACCCGTCACACTCACCAGACAGAACACCCGTCACACACTCACCAGACAGAACACCCGTCACACTCACCAGACAGAACACCCGTCACACTCACCAGACAAAAACACCCGTCACACTCACCAGACAGAACACCCGTCACACACTCACTAGACAAAAACACCCGTCTCACACCAGACAAAAACACCCGTCACACTCACCAGACAGAACACCCGTCACACTCTCACTAGACAAAAACACCCGTCTCACACCAGACAAAAACACCCGTCACACTCACTAGACAAAAACACCCGTCTCACACCAGACAAAAACACCTGTCTCACACACCAGACAAAAACACCCGTCTCACACACCAGACAAAAACACCCGTCTCACTCACCAGACAAAAACACCCGTCACACACACCAGACAAAAACACCCGTCTCACTCACCAGACAAAAACACCTGTCTCTCACTCACTAGACAGAACGTGAGTATAAAACTAGTTTCCTCTGGTGTAAACACAAGATCAATGAAGCCAAACCGCTTTGGGTGACAACACCATATGAATGAAACTCGTTCACAGTGAACACGAGATGAATGAAGTCTTCTCCAATCCCTCACAAACATATGAATGAACGTTCTACTACAAAGTGTACGACGTTCGTGAGTTTATGAACGAAAGTAAACAAAAGGTTGTAGACAAAATTGAATGGCTCGTAATTATTGCAAAACTAAACAAAAAAAATATGAAATACTCAAAATAGTCCACTTCGTGGATCCCAACTTGTCTACGACAACTTCCAGTACGACAACTTCAGTACGACACCTTCCAGTACGACACCTCTCAGTAGGCCAACTTCCAGCATGTCAGCGTCCGGTACGACAACTTCCAGTCATGTCGTGACTTGGCAGCACTAGGGCGCTCGTATGTACACAGCTGCCAGATGTAAAAAACAAACATTTACACAGGATTTTCGCGCTCAGGAGAGGAAAGGCATTCACAGGCTGAGTGAGCAATGACCGTGAGAGGTGTTGTGAGGGTGGTAGTGTTGTTAGTGATGTTGTAGGTGGTGATCATTACTCCTGTTTCTGTATCAGGAGAGTAGGAGTAGCCTATGGTACTCTATTATTTATATTTCCCTCTCTATTCTTTAGTTAAACAATACTTTCTAACATGTCACTGGTTCAGCTGAACCTCAAGCTTCCATCCGTGTGTTTATATATATATATATATATATATATATATATATATATATATATATATATATATATATATATATATATATATATATATGCAAACAAGCCTGAATGGTCCCCAGGCCATGCAACCGAAAACTCACACCCCAGAAGGGACTCGAACCCATACTGCCAGAAGCACATGCAACTGGTGTACAGGACACCTTAACCACTCGACCATCACGACCGGAAAAAAGATGATGGCAGCCGAGGCTATTTCCCCATCATCCCGCCGGCACTCTGATGGTAATCTTGGGCATAATGATGGGGAAATAGCCTCGGCTACCATCATCTTTTGTCCGATCGTGATGGTCGAGTGGTTAAGGGGTCCTGTACACCACTTGCAGAGTGCTTCTGGCAGCATGGGTTCGA